CTCACTGTCACGTTGTACCAAGAACGGAAACGGGATATTTTCTGAAGCCTTGATGATGATCTATACCCTGTCATCGTGTTGTTATCCCCTGCACCAACGTTTTAGGTCATAACGTTGACATCGAATGCTTAAGTGCCAGGAAGGCATTGTCACCATTGCCCCAGCGCACTCCAGCCTGTCTGGAAGTGCCTTGCTGCCCTTTTTGGCCTTTTTTTTTTTTTCTGAGCTCTAGTTTTTAACAGTATTTTCTGTTTAAAAAATAAAAGCACTAACTTTTGTACTGACATTGTACACTGACATCGTGCTGACTTTTCTATCTTCTCTTTCATGTAAACTACCCACTTGGGATCCCGGCCCTTGGTGGACAGGGACTGAGCTTAGACTAGGGTCCCTGGGAAAGGGTTGGACTGTAACTTTCCCTTCTCTACTTGTTGACCCAGTTCTGTTGAACAGACATCTCAAGCCGATGCCCACCTACCTTAGGTTTATTTTTCTAAATAGTTTTCTAATACCGACTTGCTCCAGGGTGCTTAATCCCACTTCCATCACATTATAACTGTGTTTGTTAAAGATTGTTCTCTCCTAAAAACTCATTTTAAAACAAGGGCTAACTTCGAGCATGACTGTTACTGCTCCTCTCTGACTAGCACAAGTTGGACCAAGGAGAAAGCCCTTGAGCAACTGAGCTCAAGTTCAGTTTTAGGTCTCAGACGTGGGCTAACATCTGTTCTCAAAGTACATTCCAGGTAAAGATGAGAGAAGGCAGACAGCACTGGTCATTCACTCACTAAGCTTGTTATTCTGCCATAGCTGCAGTTCTGGGTGCTCTCATATCTGCAGAGCAAGGAGGCAGCCACTGTTCAGCAGTGACACAGCCAAGGCGCTCCCTGGGCAGGGTGCGGGATCCTCTCGGATCAAAGGGAGAGCTTGGGTAGTTGACACTTTCAAGCTCAGTTTATTTGGAGGTTTCAGGATGCTTATTTCCCATTGGTCTTTAGCCCTAGAAAAGCTTGATAAACACCTGTAGCCTTAAACCATTCAAGGGCCAGTTAAATTACACCGAGCTATGAAATCTTCGCCACAAAAATTGAGTCATTAAATGTTACAACTTAAAAAAAAAAACACGTTTACTTTTAATGTGATTTTCCTAAAAACAAAACTATTTTTAAAAATCTGTGTCATCTGTTTAAAAAAAAATGGAAAACTGATTTTCCTAAATAAATTTCCTCTTACTTATAGGAATGAAAACACTTATAGGCATATCTGTTAATTCACCCAGTTTTTAAACTAACAGAATAAAACATTTACTTAATGGAATTACATATAGACATTTCTTCCCTTCAAAATTATATGTTGTATTACTTGTCATATTGGGGGACAAAGTCCTCCCCACTCCCATGGGAAAGGTATTGCTTATTTTTATTTTAAGGCAGAATGGCATACACTGCGACGGGCAGAGCAGCACTTTGTAAGAGACCGTCTGGTTCTTTCTAATATTTCCATGTCATCTCATGATGTTTCGGGGGGGGCTTCCTTATTTGGAAAATAAGACTATCACTTCGTTGTTTTCTTTTAAAGGTACTTATATTGTAAGAACATAGTATCATGATTGGGGTGTCCAGGGAGGCAGGAGAAGCCATTTTTCTTTGTAGATAGATAAAAAGCATTCTGTATGATTGTTGTATAATAAATTGATTTTTACACTAAAGTAAAGCATATTGTGATTTTTCCTACGTGGTTAAAATGTGTGTCTACATGGGATTTCAAATGACCTATTCCTCAGGATTTTTAAAACAATAAAGTAATATTTTAGCAATTCATTTTAGGCATTTAATTTCTCCTTCGTTTCAATAAGCAATGAGCTTTTCTTTATGTGACATTACTGCCTTTACATAGTACTCATCAAGTTAAACTATTTCAGAAAGTAGTCATTCGCAAGAAAAATCTAAGACCAGTTCGATAAGCAGAGGATATAATAAAGATGTAATATGCAAATGGTCATTATGCCGTGAAGCGTAACGACTGACCGCGTAAGGACCGGATCATGGATCAGCAGGAGGGTGGGGCAGCGAGCTACAAGTGGGTAGAGAGAGCTACAGGAGGGGGCAGGGCAGCAAGCTATAAGTTGTTCTTAGGGGGGGGGGGGGCGGGCGGAGGGAGCTACAGGAGGGCGGGGCAGCAGGCACAGAGCTACAGGAGGGCGGTGGAGAGCTACAGGAGGGGGCAGGGCAGCAAGCTATGAGAGGGGGGGCAGGGGGAGCTACAGGAGGGTGCAGGCAGAGAGCTACTGGAGGGCGGCAGCGAGCTACTGGCACACGGATTCATGCGCAGGGCTACTAGTACAGGTATAACAAACAATCCGCTATACAGAATAACCTGGAAGGAGCACTAGGTTGGTTAAGGAGACTGTATTAGGCACAGACAACACTGTATGATACTGGAGCCCAGGGCTAGAGCCTCGACAGGCATTCAGGAGTGGGCATGAGCTGAGACTTGACCGTGGTGGAGCTTGGGAGAGACTGAAGTCAAGGTTATGGGCAGGATCAAAGATTGGCAGGGTCAATGCAGAGAGTAGAGTTTTGAATGTGATGTTAAGGAGAACAAGACACAAATCCAAAAATAGCTATAAAAGATGTGTTCAAAGTCTGCTTATGAAGTTGCTTAAATTCCTGGATAGTAGGCAGGATGGGCAGGATATATTAAGGAAAGGCAGGAGGGAAGAGGGAGTGGATGGTGACACTGAAGAGGGAAATTTCATGCTAACGATCTGAATGGCAGCTAGGGTATGGGAGTCAAGAGTGGACATTTTCAAGAGCCTTCTCTTAACCTAAAGGGCTTTCATTATTTTTTTTAATTTATTGATTTTAGAGAGGGGAAGGAAGAAAGAGAAACATCGTTCCACTTCATGCATTGGTTGCTTCTTGTATGTGCCCCGACCAGAGATCGAACCTGCAACCTTGGTGTCTCAGGATGACACTCCAACCAGTTGAGCCACCTGGCCAGAGTAGGCTTTCATTATTTTAAACAGGGTGGAACCGAGTCATTAAAACTTTGTGCTTAAGAATAAAAGATAAATTCTATGTCTCAATGGCAAGGCCTAATAACCATCATTGCAAATTAAAAGCTGTTTATACATGATAAATGTTCACCTAAATAAGTTCCATAGTTTCTTTATATAAAGAAAAATTCAGTATGTGTTTTTATTTCAGCAGGTTTTCTTCAAAATCAAGTTAAATTACATTCATGTATTTAAGGAAGATTTCCACTCCAGGGCACACAAATTAATCACTCTTCCAAGACTAACTACAGTCCCCTAAGGCCTAAGATATCCCTTGACCTTCAGTGAGCATGACTCGGTCATGGAGGGGAAAAAAGCTATTGATTTGTATGTCAATTTTCTGTCTTGGGAAACTGGGCTGGGGGAACATTGGAGTGACACCAGGAGGACAAGTAAATCTAAAACCCACGCGCTCACTGAGCAGTTTGTAAACACAGTCATTATGGCTCTTAGGAAGCAACCCATGGGAGCCCATTATGACGGAGTCTGAGGCCAAGTCCCGTTTGGTGTTCAGGCAAAGCCCAACCATGCTAGGGGCCCTCCAGGCTCTGGGCACACGCCTTTGTCTTTACAGTCTTAAGATGGTGCCTCTGCTCTTGTATTTGCCCCAGATACCACAAAGCCTTTTGCCTTCAGCCATTGACCTAGCTGACCCCTAATCTGTGACTCCTGAGCACTGAACATCAGAAGGAGAAACTGCACAGTTTTGCCCAGGCTGATGTCATATGCTAAGAGGGAAATGAACTTAACATTCCTGTTGGCTATGACCCTAGTAACAAATAGTAGTTGCAAATTTATCTGAAAGACTTAACCACTTTACCTAACATACTTCATATACAACTAGCCTTTTTTTTTTAAGCTACTTAGTCCAAGGGGCTTTGATAAATTCTGGAAGCAGTAATGTTTAATTGAAAAATTCACTGAGCCGTGGTTGGTGTGGCTCAGTTGGTTAGAGCATCATCCTGTGCACCAAAGGGTTGAGGGTTTGATTCCCCATCAGGGCACATGCCCAGGTTGCAGGTTCAATCCCTGGTCAGGGCTCATACAGGAGGCAACCAATCAATGTTTCTCTCTCACATCAATGTTTCTTCCTTTTTCTCTCTCAAATCAATTTAAAAATATATAAGTAAATAAGAAAATTTCATTGAATCTACCTTGTCTAGTGCTGTATATTACACTAGGGAACAGAAGTGACCCAGATGAAATATCTGCCCTTAGAGTCCATAGTCTGGTAAAGTAGATGGAGAAACATCTAATCTAATAATAGACAAACATGGTAATTGACCGTACCTTCGCTACGCTTCCCATGGGCTAATCAGGGCGATATGCAAATTAACTGCCAACAAAGATGGCGGTTAATTTGCATACGTAGGTGCAATGCTGGGAGGCGAAAGGGGAAGGACAGAAGAAGCCGCCTGCTGCTGACGGTGATTGGAAACCCAGGCAGCAGCCAAGAGCCGGCCAGTGAGGGAAAGGGGGCCCTGGCCCCCTTTTTGCCCTGCCCCCCCCCCCCGGGGTTTTGGGAAAACCGGGGGGGGTTAGGAAAGAGGGGGGACAAAAAGGGGCCCCCCCCTTCCCCCCCCCTTTCCGGGTTTTTTCGATCACCGATCACTGGCTAGTGATCGGTGATCGGAGAAGACCCAGAAGCCGGGCTGCGTTGCTGCCCGGGGACCCCATTTGGCCTCGCATCGGGAAGTGGGAGGCAGCT